TCATAAACTGATACACAGGTGGTAGAGGTGGTTTCCAGACCAATAGAGGTGGAAGGGAAGACCTTTAACAGTAGGGGACAGTTGGGGGGATAGTGGATGTGTGGATGTGTGAGGAGGAGAATGAAGAGCAAGAGGCGGAGGAGGAGACGGCACTGAGGAGACAGGTTTGTGAGTCAGAGGAGGAGGGGGAGGACAATCCATCCCAGAGCATATTCGAAGTCTTGTTTAATCCCCACAACACATTATTTTACCATAGCTGTACAAGTGAGGAAACTGAGGACAAGATAGGCTAACTTGCTAATTGCAGTCATTCCCACCTACCTGTCATACTTGGTCTTAGAATCACACCCACCCCTGAAAAATGTAACCTCCTTCCCTGTCACTCCAGCTGCAGATTTTCTCAGGTGTTTCCAGCAATAGGCCTGGTGTTAGACCTCAGGCTTCTTCTTTCTCCATTCTCTGATTCAGAACCACTCCCTCTCTCCCTTCTCCTTTCAGTTGATCCTGTTATTCAGCCAGTCAGCCAGCAGATGTTTTTTGCTTACTGACTTCTCACTCCCAGGTACGTCTGGGTCAGACCCATCTCTGACAGTTTGGGGCTGGAGCCTATAGGCAATCCCCTGGAGAACACTGTCCTCTCCCAGTGGGCACCTTGACCTGAGACGCAAAGCAAAGGAAGGCTGAAGACCAGGAGTTTCTCTGTGCCTCAGCTTGTCTGCACCCCCTCTCTCACCCTGTCAGGGGTCCCAAGGGGAGGGGGGTGGCTGAGCTGAAAACTGCTAATGAAGCCTCAGCCAATTAACGTCCGGGCTAGGGTCGGGGGGCGGATAAAATTAGCAGCCTTGGCTGCGGGAGAAAGCTGGAGGCGGAGGTGGGGAAGGAGGGTGGGCAGCTGGCTGAAGAGGGCTCTGTTTAGCTGGCGGCCAGCAGCATGATGTGCCCCGCCCTCCAAACTCTTACTCTCCCTTCCCCCATCCCCTCATCCCAATGCTCCCTCCCTCATCCGTCTGCAAACTCAGCGCCCACGAAATTAGGAAGAAAAAGGAAGATCGATGACTCCAGATGCTGCAAACACTGTTCCCCCTCCCTCCCAACCTGCTGCCTCTCGTGGCCCGTGGAGCTTAGCAGGTTGTCAGGCACCTTCATCTCATTCAAGGTCTTACAAGTCTTCCCCCAAATCGGCCGAACAGTCCCCACTCAGGCACTCAGGTCTAAACCCCATCCTACCTGCTACAATTTGCCTTTGCCCACCTCAGAGAGGAGAATCTCCATCTCGGACAGGGCTCCTACCCCAAGGGTCACCCTCATCTCGCTTTGATCCCATTTTGGATGACCTCCAGGTGCCAGTTGGTCTTTGCCTCAGTTTCCTTACAAGCCACAAAGAGGAGGGCCTGGCCAGGTCTCTACCAGACAGAAGCCCACACCTCCCACACTCCTCCCTATAAAGGTCTCACAGACGTGTATTGGATTTCACTTTATTTTGTTCCTTTTCTGTCTGTTTTGGTGTAGAAAAAATATCACTGAGAGGAAGCAGCTGGAGAGGCAGGTGGAGCTGGACTGCAGGGATGATAGGGTGGCTGTAGAGGGCAGAAGCCAGGCCAGCACCTTTGCTGTGAGTTCTGCTTCTGCTACCTTAAGGGGGTTGCCAGGAAAAGGGCAGAGGCATTCTGCAGGAAGAAAGGGATGGGGATGGGCCCGGGTTTATAGTCCTTTACAGTCTTGGGGGGGGGGGTGCGGAGGACAGGGTCGAGCAGGAAGACAAGCTCTGGGGGGTAAGAAAATCTGGGTGGGATGAGGGTGCCAGGCCAGGCATTATTAAAGCTGTGGGGAAAAGGGAGTACCCAGCCCAGCGCCAGAGCCAGCAGGGGACCCAATGTGGACCTAGGGAACTCAGGAACCAGTTTGGGCTGCCTATCTTGGGGTGGCGTTCTTACCGCTCCACTCTGGGGTATATGGGAGGGGCCACCCCAGCCAAGTGGGCACTGCATATAAAGAAAAGAGGAGTCACACTGGCTAATGGTCCTCCTACCCCAGAGAGGAAAATGTGGAAGAGACCAAAGGAGCAGAGGGATACAGGAAGGGGGCCCACCCAGCCAGGCCAGGATTTGGCGAGAGGCTCATGACTGGGGCTGGGGAGGAGGACGCTATCCAAAGTAGGGGTGCTCGCTCTGGAAGTTATAGTCTGGACAAACCTTCTGCACCAGTTTGTAGTCAAAGCTGAGAAAGGAGACGAAGATACAGATGACTTTGAAGGGCTTGGCACAGAGCCAGGCAGCCTGGCTCTGCGTGTGCTCTGTGAAGCACACTTGCGATGGGTCATACAGGCACGGGCGGTGCTTGCGCGCGCGATTCGTTTTCTCATACTCCACATGGCAATTAAAAGCACGCGACTCTTTGGGCCCAGGCACTCCCAGCGCACCCCCCAGTGGCCCTGCCAGTGCGCCCCCAAGGGTGCCCCCCAGCCCTGGCCCAGCCGCTGCGGCCATCCCCAGTGGGGGCCCTAGTCCAGGAAGTACCCCCTCCAGGGCCAGCGTAGACTGCAGTGGATGAGGGGCAGGCCCGGGCAGCCAGACGCCCCCGAACTCTACACGCTTGGAAGGTGGCACGATGCTGACAGTGAGGTTGCCCAGGCTGGACGAGTTGTGGCGGAAGTACACACTGAAAGTACCGTTCACATGATCCACGATCTTGCCCGTCACCAGCAGCGAGAACTTAAGGGTGTGCACCCGAAAGTAGAAGTCCCCCCAGCCGAAGATTTTTTTGGCTCGGGCCGCTTTGATCGACGGCTTCCTCTTGCTACGCTGCGTGGGTAGCGCCCCGGCTGCCCCTGCCCGGGTCAGCGCCTCCGTGTGGTTGGCCGGCCAAGCCCAGCTCCAGGCGCGGGCGGCGCCCATGCCGTCCGGAGACTTCGGGGCTGCGAGCTGCTGGCCTGAGACGCCCACTCCCGCCGGTGCAGGGCGCAGCTCCAGATACTGTGACCTTCCGGACTCTGGTATCTGGGCACTCACGGCCTGTGCACGAAGAGGAGGAAAGAAAGATACTGGAGTTGTCCCTGACCATCTCGCCAGGGCCCTATTTATGCGGGTCCCTTCTGTCCTCTAGGACACCAGATAGAATCCCCCAGTCAGCTGCAGGGGGTTCAGGGAGTACACAGTAGGCCTGCAGCCTTTCCAGGCTATGTGGTGCTGGACAGGTAATTTCGTCTATCTGGGCCTTCGTTTCACATCTGCAAAATGATGCTGAGACTGCTTCGGTGCTCACAGAGCCCCACTGAGGACCAAAAAGCCCAAGTCAGTGTGAATGCCAGTAGGGAGTGGAATCTGGACCTCAACTTGGTGTCCCCTAGCCTGGCTCCAGTTGGTTCCCAATAATAGGCCAGGGAGGAGCTGGAGTGAAGCAAGGGATGCCATAGCCACATCAACATCCATCAGTAAAAAAGAGGTAGGAAGATCTCTCTGTGGCTCTACTGAGACCCCACTCGGGTTTCCCAATTAGCCTTGGGTCTCAGCGACTAGCCTTGGGGAGGCTGGAAATTGGCTGAGTTGAGGCAGAGAATCCAGATGCTCCCTCTGCGTCCGCACTGCTCCAGCTAGGGTCAATGTCACTTGGTTAGCTTTCCCAGGGCTCCTGGGCTAGAGAAGCCACTTGCTTGCACCCACCCACCTCAGTGTGTCTCAGGTGGCAGCTGATCTGGAAGACAGCAAGGTGCAACCAAGGACAAGATGGATTGAGAGGGAGGAGCAGCAAGGCCAGGCCCAGGCCATCAATTATCCTAGGGTGGGAGGTGGGGGGGCCAAGAGTGAAGGAGACGGGGAGAGTGAGAGGAAGAAATATGGAGATGCCTGCGCGAAGCAGGAGGAGAAGGAGCTGAGCGTGTCAGAGTGTGTCAGTCAGCCTATGCTAGCCTATTGGCGCTGTGTCGTGTGGCCCTGACTGCATGCGGGTCCTGGAGTGGGTGTGTTTGTTAGTCTGTGATGGTTGTGTTGTGCCTGTCTACCTAGAGTGGTTCCATGCATGTCTGCCTGAGCGGCTAGCTAGTACTTGTCTCAGTCTGTGGTGGTTGTGTGTGGCTATGTCTGTCAGTCTGAGGAGGCTGTGTGCATGTGTGTCTGCCTGCCATGGTGCTGCGCGTTTGGGGTGGCTGTGTATGTGTGCCTGGATTGGCTGTGTGTCTCTGTGTGTCGATTCGAGGGAGGCTGTATCATGCTGTGGCAGTTGCTGTGTCTGTGTGACTGGCCTGGCTGGGTTGGCTGTCTGTGTATAGTGGTCTGAGGGTAGCTGTGTGTGATTGTTTGGAGGTGTCACTTTTCCTGTGTAAGCTCCTATCATCCTTGTCTCTATGCCAAGCTCTTTCTAACGGGATTGTATGCACAGTGATACAAGTGTGGTCTCATTGGGTTTCCATGGAGTGTGTGTGTCAACTGTATATGAATGGCCCCTCAGGGAGTTTCCCACCCTGGCCTGCAGGCTGAGTTTTGGGTAGGTAAGGTAAGGAGGCCCAGCAGCACAGGTGTCCCCTCTGTTTGCATACACACCCGTGTATACACACTGTGTCCACAGGGGCAAGAATGGCAGAGCCAAGCTGCCGGGCTAGAATCTCCATCGCCTTGTCCTGGTCCCTGCAGCGCTGCAATTCCCAGGTTATTAATGCTGCCGCCACCCGCTAGTCATACATATTTATCGCCCCCTCATTCCTCCTCCCATCCATCCCTCCTCCCAGCCCAGGTGAGGGGGGTGGCAAGAGTGATTGACTCAGACAGACAAGCTTGAGCTGTTAGCTAAGCACCCAGAAGGTGGGCCTGAGAGGGGCTGGGAGAAGGGGTCCCAGGCTATAGGGGAGGGAGAAGAGGTCCTAGAAGGTGCTTTTGGGGGAGGGAGTAAGGCTTCCTAGGAAGGCTGAAGGAAGAGTGGAGTCATTTGAACTATGACCTCTTAATCTCACCCTTCTGGACCCAACCGCTGCCCTTTCCTAGGGAGCTCAGCCATCTAAGTTCCCTGTAGCCTGATGTTATAACCCTAAATACCTCTAAGCCACCTCCTCCCAGCACATCCCAGCACCCCTATGACCTGCACCCAGTCAAAACCTGGCCAGGGCTGGTTTACTCCAGTGACTCCTACAAGGCAGGGACTGGGTAGGGGATGAGTGTCAAGATGGCAGGGAGAGGGATCCCCCCCACCTCTGATGCCAGGAAATTACTGTCTCTGCTTCTCTGATCCTGGCAAATCCCCTGGCTTTGGGCACTTCCACCCACCCATGGCCACCTTGAGACAGCCAAGATAAAAGAGAAGAGTTGGGGGCGGGGGCAGCTGATGGACCTGTGGGGGAGTTTGGACAGGGAAAGATGAGAGCTTGAGAGGAAACGAGCCGAGAAATGGGAACATGAAATAAAATAAAATAAAATCCTCCCTCTGGCTTTCTTGATCGCTCACACTCTCTCTTTCTTGCTCTCTCTCTTTCACTGCTTTTCCATCTCTCTCTCCCCACTCATCTCTCAGTCTCTTCCCTCACTCTGTCTCTCTAATTTCCTCCTTCCTGATCTGTTCTTCTCCCTGTTTCTGGTTGTGGTTCTCTCCCTCCGTCCTTCAGGTCTCTTTCCTGAGGTGGGGGTGGTGAGAGGAAGGCAAGGTACTAAGGGAGCTCCTCTTTGCCCAGAGCTCTGTCCCCACTATGGCTGAGGGTGGGGCAGGGTGTTGTCTGGGGAGGAGTCCCCCTCACTCCAGAGATGGTTTAAATAAGCTAATTGGGCGCGGTGACATTTGCAGAGGGGAGAGGCTAGCACAGCTGTCTGTTGGCTGGCGGTGCAGGGGGTGGAGGTGTGCAGCAACTGGGGGTGTTCAGCCGGCTCCTCCAGGCCCCAGTCGCTGGGCAGGAGGTGCCAGGAGCACTTTGCCCCCAAGGCACTGGGCCCACGCACCTGAGGCCATTTCTTGTACCAACTCCACTGGTGGGAGGGAGTAAGCTCTTTTGGGATGGGACTGCTGGGAATGGGGGGAGGATCAGGCTGCCGGCCCCCCAGCCAGCCGCATTGCAGGGTGCACCTCCTGCAGGCCTCCAGACTGGTCCTTGCTTCTCTCCTGACGCTTGAGTCAGGTGGGGCACTCCTAGGATTCAGCCAGGAGGGGACAGCACCCTGTGGTCGGAAAAGGAACAGTCCAGGCTGGGGTTGGGGAGGGGGAGAAAATAGCACACTGAGCCCCTGCACTTAGAAAGAGGCAGGGGCACTGCAGCCAGGTAGGCTGGAGTCTGGCTGGGAGCCAGGGATGGAGATGTGGGTGAGGACAGAGGTAGGGTGAACAGGACAAGCTGAGGTGAGGATTGGGACAGAGATGGAGGGGGACTGGGATTGGGGACTGGCAGTCACAGATGAGGGGTGCAGGAATGAGTGTCAATGAGGATAAGCATGGGGATGGGGATAATCAGCAATGGTGGGCAGGCAATTGGCAGAGACAGGGTATGGATGGGATAGGGACCAGAGGAATGAAGGTGGACTGCAGAATGGATGGGAACACAAATGGGGAAAGGGATAGTGGGAGAGGGATAGGCTTTGGGGCCAGGCAGAAATGAGGATGAAACAGACAGGTAGATGGGGATGGAGACAGATTGGGGCAGAAGAGAAATGGGGGACGGGGATGATTATTAGGCAGAAACAGGGATAGATGCAGAGAGATGGGGATGGGAGACGCAAGTGGGGACTGGAATGGGAAATAGGGGACAAGGAAAGAGCAGACCTGAGCAGAAACAGGCCCCGAGGACAGGTATGGGAGAAAAGGCAGAGGAAAGGCAGAAGACCAGGCAAGATCAGTCTGTGAGAGGGGGCCAGGCCAGTGTAAGCAAGATATGTCCTTCCAGACCCTACTACAGTGTGGGGGAGATGGCTGGTGGGGTGGGCTCTGCCCTTGGGCCGGCTGCCCCCTCCCCCTCAGCCCTTCTTCTCTCACAGCCTGCTGCGCAAGGCTCACCGTTATCTGAATTTTTATTTTATTTTATTTTATTTTATTTCCCTGCTTCCTAGAGCCGGCGCGGTCCCGGGGGAACGGCCGCCCCCCGCCCCCCGCCCCGCGCCTCACTTTATTATTGCAATAAATGTGCCTATAAAGGCGCCGGCTCGGGGCGCGGTGAGGGGGGGCCCCGCAGAGCGCGGATGTAATTTCCCGAAGCCGGAGCCGGAGGGGGAGTGGGCGGGGTGGAGGTGGAGGAGGAGCAGCGGGGGAGAGGGGAAGACTCGCCAATTTCCAGCGCTCAAGGCAGCGCTCCCTGATCCCATCCCAACCCGCAGCTGGTTCCCACCCCACCCCCGTCCTCAGACGACCCCCTGCACCTGAGCCCCCAGAATTCCTTTGTGACCCTGCCCCCTATCTGTTGCCCTGTCCCCTGGTGGATCCCACCCAGCAGAGCTGATGAGGGCCTGTCTGAAGTCCCCGCTGCCTGGTTAATTATTCCATCTCTGACCCCTGTGAGGCCCCCTCCACTTACCTGCTTGCTTTCCACTTTTATCTCACCCCTCTCCAATTACTCCATCCCAGACCCCACTGACCTCTCTTTGCCCACTGACCTCCCTTGTTTCTGTCCTTATTACCTCACCTCTTCCCCAGTCATCCCTCCCGGACCTATAGCTCCTCAACCCATGACACTCCTTTCCAAGTTCTTTCTAAAGGTGCCCCTCCTATTCAGAATGTGGGGCTTCCTCTGTAGGCTGTGGCCCAAGGGAGCTGTCACAGCAGCCTTCTCCCCTGTGCCCCTGACCCAGCTGCAGCCCCTGATTACCCCCAAATCCCCACCAGCAGCTGTGGGTCCTAGCCCAGGCTGTGCGTGCCTAAGTGGCCCAGCCAGGGATTAACTGGGGGGCTAGAGGAAGAGTATAGGCAGGAGGAATGGTTGGATGAGGGGCTGGTAGAAGAGCTCAGAGAGACTTGCTCGGGCCTAATCCTTTCCTAAGGTGGGATAGAGCTGGAAGGTCCCACAGGGCCCCGCCCCTGCCCTCCCCCAGCTAATTAGTAATTAGTGATTAGTGATTAGTGACTATTGATCGCCTGCTGCTTCTCACAGTAGGCAGATGCTTTGGCAAGGGGTGGGAGAGACTGAGACAGAGAGGGAAAGGAGTCCTGGACTGTATTAGAAAGATCCTGAAGAATCCCTGGCAGAGGCCAGAACCCCAAGGGCAATGGAAGCCAGGAGTCCCAGGCCCTAAGAGGAGACCAGAGGTATAGAGCACAGCGGAAGCAGAGTGAGAACTGGAGGAAGGGCTAATGGGCAGGATGGGAGAAGGCAGGGTTGTTATCTTTTGGTATTTAGCTTTTCCAAAGAGCTACCCTCTGAACTGTTCCCCACTTGCCTCTTACCCAGGGCCAGCCCCACTTTTGTCAGCCACTCCTGACACTGGCACCATGACGTGTGAGCATGTACACACACAAACACCACACTGAGATGCACACACACATGCTGAGGCTCACAATCCCTTACTATACTCAAGTGCACTTAAAACCACAAGCACACAGAAACACGCTCACAAAGCCTAAAGACTCACACAGAGACAACACACATGTCCCAGCACACTGATGCATCAGAGACTCTGAGGCACACACATGTGCACACACTGTACTCACAAGTGCACACAGGCAGACACAGTATTTCCATACACAAACATTTCTCTACATACACTTCTCTAAGGACCATTACACATACTCACACCCGCAGTGTGTACACACACACAACACAGTTCTCACATGCACAGAGCTGGACTGAATGGCAGATCTCTCCCCACTGACTCCTGCACACAGCTGTGGCTCTCACACGCCTCGGATAAACTCCATCCTCAGCTCTCTCTCCCTCAGGTCTCCACCAGATGTTTCATTCCCCTTCAGGGGGCAAAGGAAATTAAACCAGATCTGTCCACAGGGGAGTTTATTTGACAGGGAGAGTAGAGAGGAGGTGGGAAGAAGTGAGGGGCTGGGAATGCTGTCGCTACCACCTCTTGGCCCCAGCCCTCCATACACTGTGTGAGTGGGGGGGTGAGGCATAGACACCCCCCCCCGCAGTCCTCTAAGGGCAGAGCTGTCCAAAAGGGCAGCAAGTCCAAAAGAAGCTCCTGCCAGCAGAAGCAGTTTTAATGGAGGGGGCTCTTCTGCCCACCTTCCAGCCCCTCAAGGTCACAAAGTGGGTCTGGGAGAGCTAGGGAGTGCAATCACTGGCTGCACTAGGGCAGCCCCCACCCTGCTGGAGTTGCTGAGTGCACCCTGTCTGAGCAGGTGGGGTCCAAGTGTGGGGTGGGGAGAGAATTATACCTCTTCCAGACCCTAGAGGGGCTGGGGCTGGGGTTCAGGGAGTGAGGGTTTAGGGAGCCACCTGCCTGCTCCCAAATTAGATAGGTCCAGTTAGGGTGCAGAGAACAGGAAAGCATTGGGCAGAGGAGGCTGATGGAAGGGGAGGTGACCCAGGACTTAGGTCCCCACCATGGGCACACACCCAGGAACTTGCACTCACCCACGCAAAACCACAGTACCACACCACACACCAGTGTATACATGCACCTTAGCCCCAGGACTGGACATCGAGCCCGCTTCCCTGGACACACATGCACACAGGTGCACACACGCACCCACACGATCACACCAGCACATATGCGCGCACCACGTACATGGGCTGAAGCCTCTGAGTCAGGAGGGAGGCAGATCAAGCCAGGGCCCCGTTGGCCTCTCCATCCCCGCCCAGAAGCCTCCGGGAAAGAGGCATGGGAGGTGGGGTGGAGGCTGGGAGGGATGAGAGGAAAGAGTCCCCATCCAGACAGCACCCCCAGTTCAGCTGGGCGCGAGAGGGGAGAGGGGGTGTGTCTGTGAGGTTGTGCAGGGGAGATGCTGTCTCCGTGGGAAATGCGATGGAGACTGTAGCCAAGTTCCCGGTGTCTGTGTGAGTCCGCGAGTGCTCGGGCCGTGTGTGCTCAGAACACAGAGCCCACCGGCATTGTGGCAAGTGCGGAGAAGAGAGACGGGAAGGCTGGGGTGGAGGGGTGGAAGGACGGACAGACAGTGAGGAAGGCAAGCGAGGTTGGCGCGGAAAGCCGGCAAGCCTGACACCCTGCTGGCTTGTCTGTTTGTCTCGCACTCCTGCTCTGTCTGGCGCACTCACGGGTCGGGCTTCGTCCCCTCCCCCGCCGCGCTTGAAGCCAGATCTGAGCGGGGCCTCCACCCGGCTCCCCCTCCAACCCTCAGCCAACTTGCGCCGGGAGAGTGCCAGTCCTGAATCCGGCGGTCTGTCTGTCTGCGTCCCCCACGCCGCGTAAAGTTGGGACGCTTGGAGCTGGGGGCTGGGCTGGCTCCTGGAGCCCCTAGCACTCTGGGACCTTAGCGTCCTGGACCCCGCGCTGGGGCCACAGCCCTGCCTCCTTACCTTCCTAAGGAGCCACGGGCCGAAGAGCAAGAGGAGCCATTCCGGGAGCAGCCGCATCTTCCCGGGAGGCTGAGCGGGGCAGGCGGGGCGGGTCCCGGGGCAGGCGGGTGCGGGCCTAGGGCGCGGGCTCGGGCGGGCGCGGGGCGGCTGCTGAGCGGCGGAGCGGGCGGCGCGGAGCCGGCGCTGGGGGCGGGGCGCGGGCGGGGGAGAAAGTTGGTCTGACTCCGCGGGGGGGGCGGGGCTCCGCGTAGCTCCAATCCCGGCCGCGCCCCGCGCGCCCCCTCCCGCCCAGCTGGGGGCACCGAAGGTGACTTTCACCCGACACGCCCCAGACACGCCCCTGGCCCAGGTGCGAAGCCAGAGGGTTAAGGGGCTCAGGGACCGCGTACCCGAGAGCCCCTGTCTGAGCGCGGATGGGGAACAGGGCAGGGCGTGGGGCTGAGGCTCTGGGACCGCGCGCCCCAAGTGGGGTCACAGCGGGCCAGGAGTCCAGCCAGGCTTGGTGGCGCAGCAGGACCAGGGTCCCTCGGTGTTCTGGGGCCCCTTCTAAGCTCCGGGCCAAGGTGGGTCCAGGGCAGGAGCAGGGCTGGGGCCAAGGTGAGGGCGGGCTGGGCCTCGGGCGGCTGCCGACGAGCGAAGCTGACGGGGATGGATGGGCGCCCCGCGGCTCTTTCGGCCCGGAGATGAGAATCATTGATCACGGACGGAAACCCCATCACTTCTGTCAATAGGGCTGACAAACGGCGCCCTCCGCCCCTGCCCGCGACCTACGGCATCCCAGTGGTCTCAGGACCCCTGGGCTAGACTGCCAGTCACCTTTGCCCTTGCCCCCCTCCCCACCGCCGCCCCCGCCCAGCTCCCCGCGCAGCCCAGCACGCCCTTGCTGCATGGGGGCTGGGCAGGAAGTCCCCCTTCGTGCCGCTTGTCCAGCTTTTTAGCGCAGTGTCTATCCCTTTTCTCACACTGTCCCATCTTTCACCATCAGCTCTTCTGGATCCTTGTCCCTTTCTCTGTCTGTCTCTGTCCTTGCCTCTGTCCCCAGCCCCAGTCCTGTCTCTGTCCATCCTCTTCTCTGTTTCTTCATCGGCTCTCTCCCCTCCCCTCTCTTTCTCTCTCCCCTGCCCGGAGCGTTCAGCTGTCAGCTGTTGCTATGCACTGAGGCTATGGCTGAGGTTGTGGTATGACCCACACCTAGACAGCAGAGGTAGGGACAAGTAAAGAGACAGAGACAGGCATATACCCCAGTCATCATCTCCCCCTACCCAGGCACGCATGCAGATGCATTTACAGGGACAGGCCACCTGGAATAGGTGAGCACACACACAACAAAATGCACACACAGACGAGTGCACACCGACAGGCCCACCAACACACACAGATGGACACAGTTTCTACACAGAAGAGCACACAGTGACAGACAAATGCACACTTGCACCAAGAGGCAAGCACACCCAGAGGGGTACTCGGAGAGAGCCCCTCCTACCTTGGCAGAGATGGATACACACACTGAGACACACATAGGTACATGCTAGCACTGGCAGTCCAAAAGACAAGCAGAGACACATACAAAGAAACAGACAGACAGCTATGGGATGTGACAGACACACAAAAGAGAGCTAGAGAAAGAAAAGGGGTACTGAGGGGATGAGGCAGACACAGAGACATGGGGGAGACAGAAACAGACTAGGAGAGGAGTGAGGCAGGAAGGGGCAGAAGTGTCCAGGATCAAGGCTGGATGGCTCCAACTAGAATCCCAAGCCCTAGGCCCAAGCCCAAGGGCTAATTTAGCAATGGATGGGGACAGTGGCACCCAAGCTAGAGTGCCCAGGACAGAAGCTCATCATTAAAGTCCTGATTTTCTGGAGACCCACCCTGCTGCATCTCTCCTTCTTTTGCTAAGGTCTCTCTCCAGTTACTCACACATTCCCACCCACCCCCCCACTACTCCCTGTCTCTGGGTCTTGGCCTCTGCCCCTGTATTGCTCCATCTCTGTATCTCTGTCTTTCATTCTGCTCTGTCCCTAGTTCTGCCCTTTCTCTTTTCCATTTCTGTCCTAGGCTCCTTTTTGCCTTGCAGGGTGGAGAGTTTGGGAGGTGGCAGTCCTAGAGGGCAGAGAGAGGGTGCTGACTCTCTCAGCACCCTTGGAAGGGGTTTGCCTTCCAAGCTGCAGATGGGGGTTTGTCACTTTGCCCAGGATCTTGAGGTGACAGGCAGCGAATCGGTGGTTCCCTGGGGGCACCAGATGCATGGCTGGCAGAGGGAAGGGTGGGACTGGAGGTGCTGGGGAGCAGGGAGGCTCTGGGGGGATATGGGAAGCAGAAGGGCAAGGGTGGAGGGGGTGTGGCAAATAGCCTGAGGGGAGGAAGTGAGGCTGGGCTGGATCCCCACCCCCTTCCTCTTCCTCCCTCCCCCTGGAAGGTACATCATTAGTGTGTGTTGTGGGGGGCTGTGCTGAGCTTCAGGGTAAGCTACGTAGAAGCGCGGACGCCACCTGGTGACCAGAAGGGGGCACAAGCCTCCCACTTAACAATTAACAAGGACAACCCTTTTCCCCAGCAGAGTTGCTCCCAGCACGGCCCTTGGGCCCCTGGGGAGCTGCAAAGGCAAAGGCAGAGGAGGATCTTGGAGTTGGCTTGGAGGATAAGGTTGGAGATGGGATCTCAGGGTTAAGCAGGAAGGGGAGGGCTCTTGTTTCTGTAGGTGCCTAGGCCCACAGCTTCCTCAAAGCAGGAGGATGCTAGGGAGGAACACCCCTGAGAGATTGAACAGATGAGGGGGTGAATGAAGGGCAGTGGCCCTTTTGGAGCTGCAGACATATACAGCCATCCTTTCTGAGTGAGGCTCCAACCCTTTCAATCCTAGACTGTGTGAAGCTGTGTGACGTTCTGCAGGAAGTTCCTCTCTCTGGGAAGGGGTTGATTGAGACCTGGGACACCGTTGATTGTCTAGGTCCCTGCTTCTGCAGGGGAATGACTGAAATGATTGGTGAGCTGGATCTGTTGGTAGCCAATGGGGCCTGGCAAACTGGTCTTCCCAGCTCTGGCTTACCCTAGCACCCCCTCCCATGCCAGGTTTTACTCTTGGCATCTGATTATCTTGATGAAGTGAGATGTGGATACTTCAAGAGCAAACTAAGGCAGAGAGAAGCATATGGGACCACCTCTCTCCCCTAGAGGGAGAGAAAGCCCTCACAACCACAATGTGTGCATGTCCGTGGTGGGGGAATCATTTTTTGGGGGGATGTCCAACAGAAGTGAGGATGCAGAGAAAATCTTTGAGTTAGTGACCTGAAGCCAGAGGGAACACAAGGTCCGGAGAGGGGAAGTCACCAGCTCAAGGTCACACAGCCAGGAGAAGCAGTCCAGTGCCACCTGGTCTTCTTGCTGGCCAGCAAGATGGAGCAGGCCAGGGCTGGGAGAAGGGCACCAAAACCAGCTGCCAGGCCTCCTCCAGCACAGACAGGGCTCCCTCTAGTGGCTGAAGCAGCCCAACACCGCCCAGCTCCCAGTCTCACGCTCACAGGCAGACACAAGCAGCTTTCTTTTCTTTCTTTCTTTCTTTTTTTTTTTTTTTTTACAATTTTATTTATAACAATATCTGTGTTATTTAGTTGTAAAGGAATTCAGCAAAAATTATTAAAACGTTCATGTCCCCAAAACGGGGCTGCCCATTTGCCCTTCCTTGGTGTGCCCCACATCCCCAGGGAAGGGGAGGTTAGGGGACTTAACCAAAGAAAGTCTCCAGCCCTGGGAGCCCACAGGGAGGGCACCGGAGTTGGGGGGCTGCCAGGGAGGAGCACTGAGGATGGCTATCTCAGAGGTGCCCCCAGAGTCAGGGCTGGAGCCTTCATGGCCTCCCCCAAGAAGATTCAAAACACTCCATCCTGCCTTCCTACCTAGAGCCAAATCTTCCGGACAGAGGAGGCAAAGAATTCTCTCTCCCCCAAAATTAGCCCTCAGGGAGCTGGGAAGGGGTAAGCAGGGGGATGAGAGGAGAGAGCCTGAACAAAGTGTCTGGCACGGGAGGGGAGGCAGCACCACCAGCTCTCCCAGTGGGTGCATTTGGTGGGAAGGGAGGGGGCGGGCTCCCTTGTACCTTTTCTGCTGCAGGAGCCCCAAGAGTCCTCCCTGACCCCCTCCCTGAAGGCAGCATGGGGGGCACCGAGGAGCAGGCAGAAGAGGAAAATGGAAAGAGATAATACTGTGCTCGCTTGCTCACTCACATATAAAAAGTAATTCCTTCATTTTTACATTTATACATCTGGAAGAGCCAGGGAAGGGCTGTCTGGGGAGGGGCTCATTGAAGAACTTCTCTGGAGGGGGCAGAGGTTCTCTGGGGAAGTCCAATGGGGCAGGGCCCTATGCCAAGGGGTCCCCTATCTCGTCCTCAGGGCCCCGGCCCAAGAGTTCTCGCTTCTCGTCCGTGCTGGCCAGGGAGTGGCGGCTGCCGTGGCCCCCCATGTAGAGTGTGGCATAGACAGGGTTGGTGAAGTTGGTGGGCTGCAAGGCAATATAGGGTTCACGTGGGGCCCAGGTGCTGCCCTCTGTGGCCAAGGTTTCCCTCCCCCCACCTCCAGCCCATCATCCAACCCAACACCCTTAATCACCCTACCCACAGCCTCCTAGAGCTGCCCTCCCAGCCCACCTTGTCAGGGTCCAAGGCAAAGTCAGCATCCAGTAGGCCCCCGACATCATCAGGCTCTCCCCCTTCATACATCTTATAGGTAGGGTTCCCAATCTCCACGTTCATGGCCCCATTGGTCATCCGCTGGTGCTGGAAGCCCTTAGCCCTGGGGAGAGGTGGGAGTATAAGGGGCAGAGAGTTTGGGGGCATAAGGCTGGGGTGGTCAAATAATGGTCAGAACCTTCCAGACTCCCAGTGACTCACCCTCGAACTCGCCGCTTATACCAGAATACCACTCCAGCTACCAGGAGCAGCAGCAGCAGCAGCAGCAGAGGGATGAGGATGGAGGCCATGTCTGGAGGGAAGATGCAGGATACTGAGTCAGAGGAGCCAAGGGAAGCAGGAGGCACAAAGTCCTCCTGCTTTAGGTCCC